TCTTCTTCTTCTTCTTCTTCTTCTTCTTCTTCTTCTTCTTCTTCTTCTTCTTCTTCTTTTTCTCCTTCTCCTTCTCCTTCTCCTTCTCCTTCTCCTTCTCCTTGTCCTTGTCCTTCTCCTTCTCCTTCTCCTTCTCCTTCTTCTTCTTCTTCTTCTTCTTCTTCTTCTTCTTCTTCTTCTTCTTCTTCTTCTTCTTCTTCTTCTGTTCCAATGTGTTTCTGTGTTATGTTTGTCTGTCTTACTTCACGCCCTGCACTAATGGCCGTTATTGTGTCGATGTAACTCTCTTCACTCAGATTATTATAGAAACAAGCCACGACACTATTAGGTTAACCCACCTCAGGTTGACATGGAACCAATAATTTCTTATGTCATGCGTTCTTTAACTATCCTCCCCATACACGCCACTTGAATCACAGCCTCCCCCCCCCTTTTTCCCCCCGGCCTCACGATACGAATAACACAACACGTTGTGTGTGTCGCGACAACCGGGAAGTGAATCACCAGAAAAGTTTCCTGTTCTGTACGGGCTTTTTAGCTTGGGCAAGGACAAGTAGTGTCGACAGCAGCCTGCAAATGTTTCCTTTTCACGCATGAAAACGATTCTAATGTATAATAATAGGTTTAGGCAGGGGGTACTTGGGATTTTCCAGAGCTGTTTTTATAGCACCAAACTATGTACATGTAATACTTGCCAGCCAGTTCACGTTTCTGCTTGTGAGTGGAGTAACAGTCATTGTGCGCGGGGCTTGATCGTGATTTGCAGTAAGTTAGCAATTGAAGGTTAACAGTTCTCTTCATGCAGGTGATAATGTATTTTGACATTTTGTTTCTGTATGTTTACGCTATTAATGATAATTGTGATCTTTAATACGACCTTTTTCAGCAGCTTCGACAGCTACAATATTTCGTCATAACAACAGAGACGAAAACTGCTACAGCCCAGAATATAAATAAGAAAAATTAAAATATATCAACAACGACCCTGTGATTGCGACACTGTTTTGAATATAGGTTTCTCTTTTCCTCGGTTTGGACAGCTGGTCTTGACAGCAGTGACATTTACGTCACGACACGGTGGAATCATGTGCTTTTCAGTTCCTGGGAATAATAAAATCATTAGCATCATCTTAAGTCCATTTGTTTGGGTTTTTTCTAAATGGAGAAAAAATACCCATCTATCTAGAGTAGAAGTCGAGGTAGGGTCGCCAGGTGTTAGAGGTAAAATTAGCGAAAAATTGACGGCCAAAGTTTGGTGACTTCCAAACCTTGAGTTATTCTGACAAACGTCATGATAGCACGATGCCTCAGATTGGTGTTTCTGTTTATTTGTCTACGAACAGTAATTTAATATGGGGAATCAAAATGTAGAATTGAGATAGTTGGTGGGTGGGTGGCACTGTTTGGTTCTACTTCTTTTCTTTCCCTCTGTTGTTTTTGTCCGTATGTTTTGCTTTAACCCTTCAATTAATGATCACTATTGAGTCGATGTGCTTTTCTTTCTTTCCTATCAAACATCTATCGTCTTTATCTGTGTACTTTTTCTTTGAATGTTACTCTCAGTAACATCTCTAATCTTCGGCACATATGACCTATTTGTGTTGTATGTGCCGTAAAAATGTTACCAAAACTGAAATCATTTACTCAAACAAACAAAAAAACAAACAAACAAACAAACAAACAAACAAACAAACAAACAAACAAAACCCCAAAATAAACGGGCAAATAAATCAACAAACAACAAACAGACAAAAGTTAATATAAATTATCAAAACAACAAGAAAAGGCGATTAGGGCAAAACGGAGAATAACTTACTGCATAGTTGAAGTCTTCATTTGGTTTCTTCAAGTTTAAGGATTACAGGACACAGCCAGGAGCGACCCCATTGCTCAAGGACTGGACAATATCTCCTGAACTTCGATTAGCGAAACTTCCAGAATGCCTCGCGTACCGGTGGGTGAGGGTCAGCCCCTTCTACAGGCCATCCGGCGGAGCACACGTGCGTCACTCACGGACCCCGATGCCAGACTCCGACTCCGGGCTACTGTGCTGCTACCCTGTGTCATCACAGCTTACTTCATCCTCTACGTCCTGTGTCACTCCGTGCTCAACCCCTACATCTATGACAAGGTCAGCTTAGCTTTTGATCATCATCATCATCATCATCATCATCGTCATCATCACCACCACCACAACCATCA